CCTACCAGACCTAGCCTAGTCCACCTACACCCTACCACACCTACTAGCACTTGTTAACCTACCAGACCTGACTAGCCCAAGTCCATACTACCTGTTAACCCTACCACACCTGACTAGCCCACCTACCACTTGTTAACCCTACCACACCTGACTAGCCCACCTACCACTTGTTAACCCACTAGACTAGCCCACTACCACTTGTTAACCCTACCACACCTGGCTAGCCCACCTACCACTTGTTAACCCTACCACACCTGACTAGACTAGCCCACCTACCACTTGTTAACCCTACCACACATGACTAGCCCACCTACCACTTGTTAACCCTACACAGACATGACTAGCCCACCTACCACTTGTTAACCCTACCAGACATGACTAGCCCACCTACCACTTGTTAACCCTACCAGACCTGACTAGCCCACCTACCACTTGTTAACCCTACCAGACCTTGACTAGCCCACCTACCACTTGTTAACCCTACCAGACCTGACTAGCCCACCTACCACTTGTTAACCCTACCAGACCTGACTAGACTAGCCCACCTACCACTTGTTAACCCTACCAGACCTGACTAGCCCACCTACCACTTGTTAACCCTACCACACATGACTAGCCCACCTACCACTTGTTAACCCTACCAGACATGACTAGCCCACCTACCACTTGTTAACCCTACCAGACCTGACTAGCCCCCCCACCTACCACTTGTTAACCCTACCAGACCTGACTAGCCCACCTACCACTTGTTAACCCTACCAGACCTGACTAGCCCACCTACCACTTGTTAACCCTACCAGACTTGACTAGACTAGCCCACCTACCACTTGTTAACCCTACCAAACCTGACTAGCCCACCTACCATTTGTTAACCCTACCAGACCTGACTAGCCCACCTACCACTTGTTAACCCTACCAGACTTGACTAGACTAGCCCACCTACCACTTGTTAACCCTACCAGACCTGACTAGCCCACCTACCACTTGTTAACCCTACCAGACCTGACTAGACTAGCCCACCTACCACTTGTTAACCCTACCAGACCTGACTAGACTAGCCCACCTACCACTTGTTAACCCTACCAGACCTGACTAGACTAGCCCACCTACCACTTGTTAACCCTACCAGACCTGACTAGCCCATCTGCCACATGTTAACCCTACCACACCTGACTAGCCCACCTACCACTTGTTAACCCTACCAGACCTGACTAGCCCACCTACCACTTGTTAACTCTACCAGACCTGACTAGACTAGTCCACCTACCACTTGTTAACCCTACCACACCTGGCTAGCCCACCTACCACTTGTTAACCCTACCAGACCTGACTAGACTAGCCCACCTACCACTTGTTAACCCTACCACACCTGGCTAGCCCACCTACCACTTGTTAACCCTACCACACCTGACTAGACTAGCCCACCTACCACTTGTTAACTCTACCACACCTGACTAGACTAGCCCACCTACCACTTGTTAACCCTACCACACCTGACTAGACTAGCCCACCTACCACTTGTTAACCCTACCACACCTGACTAGACTAGCCCACCTACCACTTGTTAACCCTACCAGACCTGACTAGCCCACCTACCACTTGTTAACCCTACCAGACTTGACTAGCCCACCTACCACTTGTTAACCCTACCAGACCTGACTAGCCCACCTACCACTTGTTAACCCTACCAGACCTGACTAGACTAGCCCACCTACCACTTGTTAACCCTACCAGACCTGACTAGCCCACCTACCACTTGTTAACCCTACCACACATGACTAGCCCACCTACCACTTGTTAACCCTACCAGACCTGACTAGCCCACCTACCACTTGTTAACTCTACCAGACCTGACTAGACTAGTCCACCTACCACTTGTTAACCCTACCACACCTGGCTAGCCCACCTACCACTTGTTAACCCTACCACACCTGACTAGACTAGCCCACCTACCACTTGTTAACCCTACCAGACCTGACTAGCCTACCTACCACTTGTTAACCCTACCAGACCTGACTAGCCCACCTACCACTTGTTAACCCTACCAGACTTGACTAGACTAGCCCACCTACCACTTGTTAACCCTACCAGACCTGACTAGCCCACCTACCATTTGTTAACCCTACCAGACCTGACTAGCCCACCTATCACTTGTTAACCCTACCAGACTTGACTATACTAGCCCACCTACCACTTGTTAACCCTACCAGACCTGACTAGCCCACCTACCACTTGTTAACCCTACCAGACCTGACTAGACTATCCCACCTACCACTTGTTAACCCTACCAGACCTGACTAGACTAGCCCACCTACCACTTGTTAACCCTACCAGACCTGACTAGACTAGCCCACCTACCACTTGTTAACCCTACCAGACCTGACTAGCCCATCTGCCACATGTTAACCCTACCACACCTGACTAGCCCACCCACCACTTGTTAACTCTACCAGACCTGACTAGACTAGTCCACCTACCACTTGTTAACCCTACCACACCTGGCTAGCCCACCTACCACTTGTTAACCCTACCACACCTGACTAGACTAGCCCACCTACCACTTGTTAACCCTACCACACCTGGCTAGCCCACCTACCACTTGTTAACTCTACCACACCTGACTAGACTAGCCCACCTACCACTTGTTAACCCTACCACACCTGACTAGACTAGCCCACCTACCACTTGTTAACCCTACCACACCTGACTAGACTAGCCCACCTACCACTTGTTAACCCTACCAGACCTGACTAGCCCACCTACCACTTGTTAACCCTACCAGACTTGACTAGCCCACCTACCACTTGTTAACCCTTCCAGACCTGACTAGCCCACCTACTACTTGTTAACCCTACCAGACCTGACTAGACTAGCCCACCTACCACTTGTTAACCCTACCAGACCTGACTAGCCCACCTACCACTTGTTAACCCTACATGACTAGCCCACCTACCACTTGTTAACCCTACCAGACATGACTAGCCCACCTACCACTTGTTAACCCTACCAGACATGACTAGCCCACCTACCACTTGTCAACCCTACCAGACCTGACTAGCCCAACTACCACTTGTTAACCCTACCAGACCTGACTAGCCCACCTACCACTTGTTAACCCTACCAGACCTGACTAGCCCACCTACCACTTGTTAACCCTACCAGACTTGACTAGACTAGCCCACCTACCACTTGTTAACCCTACCAGACCTGACTAGCCCACCTACCACTTGTTAACCCTACCAGACCTGACTAGCCCACCTACCACTTGTTAACCCTACCAGACCTGACTAGACTAGCCCACCTACCACTTGTTAACCCTACCAGACCTGACTAGCCCACCTACCACTTGTTAACCCTACCAGACCTGACTAGACTAGCCCACCTACCACTTGTTAACCCTACCAGACCTGACTAGACTAGCCCACCTACCACTTGTTAACCCTACCAGACCTGACTAGACTAGCCCACCTACCACTTGTTAACCCTACCAGACCTGACTAGCCCATCTGCCACATGTTAACCCTACCACACCTGACTAGCCCACCTAGCACTTGTTAACCCTACCAGACCTGACTAGCCCACCTACCACTTGTTAACTCTACCAGACCTGACTAGACTAGTCCACCTACCACTTGTTAACCCTACCACACCTAGCTAGCCCACCTACCACTTGTTAACCCTACCACACCTGACTAGACTAGCCCACCTACCACTTGTTAACCCTACCACACCTGGCTAGCCCACCTACCACTTGTTAACCCTACCACACCTGACTAGACTAGCCCACCTACCACTTGTTAACCCTACCACACATGACTAGCCCACCTACCACTTGTTAACCCTACCAGACATGACTAGCCCACCTACCACTTGTTAACCCTACCAGACCTGACTAGCCCACCTACCACTTGTTAACCCTACCAGACCTGACTAGCCCACCTACCACTTGTTAACCCTACCAGACTTGACTAGCCCACCTACCACTTGTTAACCCTACCAGACCTGACTAGCCCACCTACCACTTGTTAACCCTACCAGACCTGACTAGACTAGCCCACCTACCACTTGTTAACCCTACCAGACCTGACTAGCCCACCTACCACTTGTTAACCCTACCACACATGACTAGCCCACCTACCACTTGTTAACCCTACCAGACATGACTAGCCCACATACCACTTGTTAACCCTACCAGACCTGACTAGCCCACCTACCACTTGTTAACCCTACCAGACCTGACTAGCCCACCTACCACTTGTTAACCCTACCAGACCTGACTAGCCCACCTACCACTTGTTAACCCTACCAGACTTGACTAGACTAGCCCACCTACCACTTGTTAACCCTACCAGACCTGACTAGCCCACCTACCATTTGTTAACCCTACCAGACCTGACTAGCCCACCTACCACTTGTTAACCCTACCAGACTTGACTAGACTAGCCCACCTACCACTTGTTAACCCTACCAGACCTGACTAGCCCACCTACCACTTGTTAACCCTACCAGACCTGACTAGACTAGCCCACCTACCACTTGTTAACCCTACCAGACCTGACTAGACTAGCCCACCTACCACTTGTTAACCCTACCAGACCTGACTAGACTAGCCCACCTACCACTTGTTAACCCTACCAGACCTGACTAGCCCATCTGCCACATGTTAACTCTACCACACCTGACTAGCCCACCTACCACTTGTTAACCCTACCAGACCTGGCTAGCCCATCTACCACTTGTTAACCCTAACACACCTGGCTAGACTAGCCCACCTACCACTTGTTAACCCTACCACACCTGGCTAGCCCACCTACCACTTGTTCAGCTGCTGTAGATTCGGAGAGAATATTTGAGATGACAGTTGGAGCATAGGTAGGGACAGAGAGAGATCTGTGTGTGTATGTATTGATTTTGTTAAAACAGTTGACTTTTTTATTTCTAGAGAGGGGGTGAGAGTTGTGCGTATGTGTATATATATATTTTGATGTTTTTTCTTACAGTTGACTTGTATTTTTTCTACAAACAAGCAGAGAGGCTTGGAGGCTATGATATGGTGAGTCCTCTTGTAACATGATCAGCTTGTCTTTCTCATTTTTAGTTCTAATTCAGTGTGTGTATTTTTGTAGTGTATGTCTTTTCTAGTGATAAGTATGTGAAAGACTGAATGGCTTCCTGGTACCAGATATTATGTCTTCTACAGTGAGGCAATCATGATAGCTGTGAGACACATGATGAACGAGGGACAGGTGTCAAGATATGAAAAACCCCTGGTGTACTGACAGCTCAGTTCTCATCAGTTCAAATGACATGCTATAATTGTTTAATGTAACGTGAAAAAAGGTAGCAACAATTTAATAACACATCAGACTATTGCTGGTGGATGTAACAGTAACATGTGCACATCAGCCAACATCCAAACGACTGCAATTGTTGGTGGATATAACAATTACTTATTAAATGGAATAAACAAAAGACAGTGTATTAATCGGCTCTCATAGAAAGAAGTAGAAAATAGAAGAACACATTAGACAGCAAAAAAATCAAAATCTCTAGTTACCATACCGGGAATCGAACCTGTCATCTCCAGATGGTGTGTGCACCTCGCTATGGAAACAAGTGCACTAAAAACATGGTCAGCTATGCACCCTAAAAAAAGTTCTTTATGGGCCATGTCTGTTGTACAGCTTGAAATCCACAACTATGGAATACGGACAGATTTAATCTCAAACTATTGAAATGGCACCATAGGTTACAGAAATTTATAATAATATAGCATAGGTCAAAAAACAAAGACAGCAGTGATTTACAAACACAGTAGGTGGTAATGTTTATGTAACAGTTACAGTTACATAAACACATCAACGAACATCAAAACAACTACAGTAATTGGGTGTTGTAACAATTACCGAAACACATCAGCCAACATTTAACCAGTTACATACATTGGTGGATGTGACAAGTCAACATATCAGCCAACATCTAAACAACTACGATCATTGGTGTGTGTAACAGTCAGTACATAAACACATCAGCCAGTGTTTTGACAACTACAGTCAGTGGTCAAAGTGACGAGTCAAGTGAACACATCAGCAAACATCTAAACAGCTGCAATCATTTGTGGATGTAACAGTTACCTAAATACATCAGCCAACATCTAAACAGCTACAATCATTTTTAGATGTAACAGTTACAAAAACACATCAGCTAACACATAAACAACTATAATCATTGGGGGATTTAACAATGACATGAAAACATCAGCCAACATGTAAACAGCTGCATTCATTGATGGGTGTAACAGTTACATGAACACATCAGCCAGCATGTAAACAACTACAATCATTGGTGTATGTAACAGTTACATGAACACATCGGCCAACATCTAAACAGCTACAATCATTTGTCGATGTAACATTTACATGAAAACATCAGCCAACATGTAAACAGCTGCATTCATTGATGGGTGTAACAGTTACATGAACACATCAGCCAGCATGTAAACAACTACAATCATTGGTGGATGTAGCTTATAGATGGTCCTAGTGGCAGGTACGAGATGTTGTGAACAGGCCAGGTAATTACTGGAGACAGTTCCACATAGATGGTCCTAGTGGCAAGTACGAGATGTAAACAGACCTGCTTTATACTGGAGACATTCCACATAGATGGTCCTTGTGGCAGGTATGAGATGTGAACAGGCCAGCTCAGTACCAGAGACATAGATGGTCCTGTTTGCAGGTACAGTATGTTGTGAACAGGCCAGCTCAGTACTGAAGACAGTTCCACATAGATGGCCCTTGTGGCAGGTACGAGAGGTTGTGAACAGACCTACTCAATACTGGAGACATAGATGGTCCTGTTTGCAGGTACAAGATGTTGTGAACAGGCCAGCTCAGTACTGAAGACAATTCCACATAGATGACCTTTGTGGCAGGTACGAGAGGTTGTGAACAGGCCTAATCGGTACTGGAGACAGATGGTCCTGGTGGCAGGTATGAGAGGTTGTGAACAGACCTACTCAGTACTGGAGACAGTTCCACATAAATAGTTTTGGTCAAAAATATGAGATGTTGTGGACAGACCAACACATTAGTCGAATCAGTTCCACATAAATGGTTCTGGTAATCCTAGTTTCAGCTTCATAGCAAACGGGTCACCCATAGTTGCTCCGCTCCTGTGCCAACGAAAAACACACAAAGCTCACAGTGTCACGCCATGCACTCAACACAGAAGCTGGGCGACGAAACTATCCTTCTAGTCTACAAATGGAGCAAAAATGCAACGGCCATCGTCTGGCAAAAGCAAAAAAAAAAAAATTTGCCACGGCTAAAAAAAAAATGGTGGCCGTTCCTAGCATCCATTTTGACCTGAAGCATTATATAAGGGTTAATAAACGGTCACCCCAGCAGTACCCTCACTATTAGCTGGGGAAGGGACTTGGGACATTACATCCACCAGCAGGCGTCGCCCCTACAACGACCTGCCTGCCTTCGTTAACGACTGTTCACCCAACAGCCATGCAGTTCTTTGGCACGGAGGAGACACCTTGAGCTTGGGTTTCGGACTGCCGACTCCCTACAAGATGTTATTTTATGTTCTGTTATCACACTTGATGTCACTGCACATTGGGCATACCCATGCGTGCTCAGTCCTCCGAAGCAGCAGCCACTCCAAAGTACTTCTACTAATTGACTCCGTGAGAAGCTGGTTATATTGTCTCCTTTCTCGGCCTTGAAGGTGGTAAAGACGTGCTTCACCATGCTTAATTCCCATGTCACGCAATCGTGTTAGTGTCAGGGATTCCTCATTTTCTACTAGCGTTGACGATATCTGCTCTGTCCATGCTTTTTCCCACAATCATTAGTGTAGTGCTTGCCAGTTGGTCCGCTCGCTCATTTCCCCTTACTCCCACATGACCCGGTGTGTAGATCCAGGTTACGGAGGTTAAGTGCGATTTCCGAATGCTTTCTATCCATTCAGAGCACATACTGCCTGTTGCTATCTTCTGAAGCATATTCATTGAGTCTGAGACAGTTCCTGCCTGTGTGGCAGGATACCAATGAAAGATGGTTCTGCTGGCAGGTACAGGTTGTTGTGGACAGGCTCATGCCACCCATCAATACAGCCAAGTCAGATAAGTGAAATATCTAATAAATACACCAGACCTCTGGATGCTGTTTTTTGAGCACTTCTCTGTCTCTTGAATATTTGTTATTTTTGACTTTCTAAAATTAGTGACAGTTGTGCTGTTGGGTAGTCAGATACCATGTCATCTCCATGTTGGACTTTTTTGTTTCTACTGTGTTGTCAGCTTGGACATGGCTATGGGTAGTCTTTATTTACAACTGCAGTATGCTCTTTTTTTTAAATAGAATTTCTGATGTTATTGTGATGTCATATTGTGCCACTTGGAACACTACCATTCCCTTTCCTTCCCCACGGAAACAAAAATTCTGAACCACAGGGAGAGAATGCAGTTGATTCTCTGCTGTTGATATCTAAAAATTACTTCCCTTTTGACACTTTTTTGTGGGGAGGGGGAGGGGAGCTTTTGCCCCCAAAAATATTACAAATCTATTTAGTGACACTGAGACATGAACATTGCAGTGACCATTGGGCTTGCCTGTCTGCTGTGTGTCATGTCATAGGTTTCAGCTCCATAATTTTTATGTAAACTGACCAAGACTGCAAATTCTTCAGCTTATTCTTCTCTTTCTCTGGTTTCTCAGGCTAGTTGCAGAGAATTATAAATCACTGTTCCTTTCTAAGGTGCTTTATGACAACATTATTTAAAAAAAAAAGAATTTAAGATCTGAAAGTATTAAAGGCTGTCAAAATCTGAAGCATGGGAAAATTGCAGGCCCCAGCAGGAGTATGATAAAATTATCATTAAAATTTTGAATTGTTGCTATCACAGAAGTATATAAGATTTAGCACACTAGACACATTTGCTAGGACTTGGAAACATCTGTTTTGCCCACACTACTCAAGAATCAAACTCACTTGTTTTTATTGACTGTGAAAACTACATAACTGAGCTTAATTAGTTGTTCTTTCCTCCTGAGCATAGGGCGAAGGTCATAGCTCTCCATGTCTGGTTGTTTATTTGAGGTCTTAGATGTTCATTAGACCCATGGTTGAGCCTTCCCTGATGATAGTTCTATGCAGGCTCTCTCTTGGTTTTTATGGGGGAGTCTTGTCTTATCTATTCTGAGTGTATGGCTGATGAAGTTCCAGCGGTGCTTTTTTATAAAATTGGATACATTATCTTGCTTGGTCTATTGTCTTATCCATTCTGAGTGTATGGCTGATGAAATTCCAGCAGTGCTTTATAAAATTGGATACATTATCTTGCTTGGTCTCTTGTCTTATTTGTGTGTTGTATTTGAAATTTGTCTAGTTTAGATTTAGTATTCTTCTGTTATTAAAATTGTCTAAATATTTGTCTAGAGCTACCGTTGCTTTCCAACTCTCCCATTCATAAGTTAGCATTGGAATTACAGAGTTGGAAGATCTTAAGTTTTGTGTGTTAGTTGAATATCTTTGCCAGTGCGAATTTAGATGATATTTCTGGCACTGAATTCCCTATAAATGTCATCTTACTCGCTAAGTATGTAAAGCTGTTGACTTTTTCAAGAATGTGATTGTTTAGTTTGATGATGTCTGAACTGTTGGTAAAAATCAATAATTTTTTGTTGTTTTTGAGTTGTTAATTTAGAGACCATTTTGTCCTTAACAATTTTGGAGAACATCTGTTTTCTCTTTGGTATCTGGGTGCATTGATCTCATAAGCACTATGTCGTCAGCAAAGTCAAGTTCTTCAAGAATTTTGTCTACCCATTTGATACCCATATTTGTGGCTGTGCAAACCAAATCGACCAAATGACCAAATTGATTGCTATTTCAAAAAACATAAGTGATAGGACACAGCCTTGTTTCGCTCCTGTTTCCTCTGGGAACCAATCAGTTACCAGTTCTTACACTGCAGAGTGTTTCATTGTTAAAGGATTTTAGGATGTTGATGAATTCGACAGGGCAGTGTAGGACAGTGGA